GTCTGTTTTGTTTGCGGAGGCCACAGGCCAGCCGTCGTGCCCAGTGGATGGCGGGAGCCAAGGGAAGACCCCGAACGACTGAGCTATAGTACAATACCTGGAGCAGCAGTTCCCCCTCAGGAAACAGCTCTTTGTCAACCTGTGGGTCTGTCTGTTCATTCCCTCCTGGGGCTCTGGGCTGATCCAGCACGCAGTCGCCAACATCTGTAGCTGCAGCTGCAAGTAAGAGGGCAAGAAATCAGCATGCAAGGGGCAAGCCAGGAGCCTCTCCCTCCTCCTCCCCACCCCAGTGCTGCTCATGCATGGCTGCACCACACTACCCGATGCATGTGGACCCAGCCTGGAAGAAGATGAGACTAGCGGGGGCTGGAGCAGAGACCCTTCACAGAGCCATCCCTAACTTGCCCAATGCTTCCTCTAAGAGATAACAGCCCCTGCTTGGTCCCATTTCTGGGAAACCTTGCTTCTGCCAAGGTCTGAGGCAGAGATGCAAAGGATAGAGGGGAGGAGAGCATTTTGGGGCTGCCCAGGCTAGGAAACACCGCCCAACACAGCAAGAAGTCTTCAGGTTACAGCCTGGTAGAGCTGGAGGTGGCTTCAAGCCACCCCAGTGTCACAGTGTCTGCTTTCTTGCCCTTCAGGGCTGACAAAACACAAGGGCAAACCTTCCCAAACCATCTGAGATGCCATCAAAGCACCCATATTTTTTCTCCCTTTCACTTTTGGCTGCTTAGAAGCAGATCAGAGGGTTGGTGGTCATGGTGCTCCCAGGGAGACACCCGAGCAGCTCTCTGCTCCCCGAACTCGCTGCCATGACCTCCCCAGGCTGATTCACGTGCTGCTTCATGCTACCTCGCTAGACGCCTTCAAAGCAACACCCGTGGGTGCAGCCAACATGAAACATCCTGCCCCCATCGCAGGACCTCGGGCATCATGGGACACACAGAAAACCGGTTGTTCGGGGAACAGGAACAAGGATAGTGGCTCCCAGGGACATCCCCAGTGTAGTACTTCGTCTGCTGGGGAATTATCCTTGAAAAACCTCAGTCCAAACTGAGCTTTCAACAAAAGGACAATTTTCAAGGCATGTTTGTGCGTGAACTCAACCAGAAACCCTCAGGAAAACCTCAAAGCAGCCCTCATGCAGGAACCACCCCACCTCTGCCACTGCCACAAGCTCCTGCAGCGCCCCATGGTCAGACAGAACTCACGCGCCCTGTGCACAGCCACATCCCAGCAGAGCATCACTGCCTGCCCCGTCTGAGCCCTGGGTTTCTGAGGGTGCTGCATGATCTTGGCTGGATCCAAACGGAAAAGGTCTTCTGAATTTGGGGGAGCAGTAGGAAATGAGGAAAAACCCCAAACCATCCTAAGTCTGACCACACATTTAATTTTCTCCAAGGCAGAATCTCTCACCTCACCATTGAAATATTTTGAAGTTTGTTATTTTTTCTTCCCAGTTGCACAGAGTTTAAAGCCAAAACAATTCCAAACCTAGAACCATCTGAAACTGCTGATATGAGACATTTTGCTTTTCATCAAACCATCAATGTGCAAAAGCATTTTCCCTGACAGATCTGCTTTTTTGTATTAAAAACCAGTTTGAGGTCAAAACATTGCTCACATCTATTTTACATGTGGAGCTTGAGTGACAACAAGCACCTGCCCATGCAGGCTTTCAGCAGCTAGGTGCATGGTTAAAGATAATTAGCTGAAAGTCTTGCATAAGCCACACTGTTGCAGTCACACAGGTTTAAATAAAAGTGGAGAGGATGCTCTGAGCCCATCAAGCAGAATTAGCCTCGACCTCTGTCACTGATAGAACTGGGCTACTGCAGCCTCCCCCAAACCTTGAGTGCTCCTTGGAGATGCTCAGGCAGCAGCTGCATCTTCTGCCCTTTCCTTCCTGTGCCCTCACTCGCTGGAGGAAAGCCCACCTTGTGGGCACCTCCCACGGGACATGCCTTCCCCTCCCCAACAGCTCCCCTGTGCATCAGTTTAGCCCATGCCACAAATCTGCATTGCCCCCCCCCATGTAAGCTCATGTTCCCATTTCTGCAGGGGACGACCCTCTGCACAGACACTTTCCAAATCAGCAAGATGCGGATCAGCCAGGCAAGGGCACACGAAACCTCTGGGAAAGGTTGGGAAAGATGAGGTTCAACACCAGGAAAGCAGTCACTGTGCTCAGTTTGCTCATCAGTCAAGGAAAGCAGGAGTTTCAAAAGGCAGGTCTGAGGCAGTCACCAAGCAAAAAGCCTCCTCGCCAGATTGCCAAGCGATCCCCAAGGAAAAACATTCAAAGCCCATCTGGACCACGGGTATGGCTTCAATTTGCACATGATGGAGCAGAATAGTTTTAAAATGAAACATTGATTCTTTTTTTAAATTTGGATTCTTTTGAAGGGTTGACTCCTCTCTAAAGCATTGAAATGAGGCAAGCTGGCAGGGTAACTCAAAAAGAAACCAAGTTCTTCCAAAACAAAGCTCCAAAAGGGCAGAGAGTGTTTTGAGAGGATGCACGTCCCGAGAGCACGTGGTCTCCAGCTCTCTCCCAGTGTCCACCAGGAGCATCTGCAGGGAGAGATGCAACGAGCTGGGGAGAGCTGCTGTGGGCTTACAGAATCCAACACAAAACACCTATTTGCTTATTTTGTGCTTTCCAGCAAAATTATTTCTGCCAGCTCTCCCACCAGACTTAGCAAGGCGCTTTTAATCTCCCATCAGAGACGCTCGCTTCCCTTACTCTCAAACACAGAGTGGTCCATTTCTGCACAGCTGAGCTAGAAAATCCTGCAGAATCTATCTCCCATGGGGCACACTACGGTGACCTGGCTTGGGGAGAAGGCCTGGAGCACAGAGAGAGGGTAGGAAATGCAAAGAGATGGTGTCTGCCAACTGCTTTGCCATAAAGCATCACTGCACAGGGGCTGCAAGGTCCTAACTGCAGGGCATGGATTGTAACTGGTGCTTCTAAGTATTGGTCTGGTGTTCACATCCAGCTCAGTCCTCGCCATCCACATCCAGAGGCCAAGGAGATGCTGAGGTCAGTGCATGAGGCAAAACACATGGCAATCTCCACCAAAATAATCCAGGAATGTGTGACATGAGCTCCCTTTACTTTCGTCATCACTTCAACACCTGTGGCCCGGTCTTGTTCTTGCAAAGGGCTTCTCTGCTTCAAGTGACAGCCACCCTGCTGGGGACGGCCAGGGGTGGAGCGAGCTCTCAGAAGCCACAGCCATTCCTCAGTGGTCTAGATGATCTGGAGACCTCCTGTACCCATTTTCAGGTGGTGACCTTCTTCATGTTCAAACATGTCATGACTAGGTGTTCTTCTCAAGCAACAAGTTGGGAGAAAAGTGTCCCTGTGGCTCTCCCCCTCCAAATAGGTCTCTGAACTCATCCTCACTCAAATTGCCAAGAACCATGAGGGTTGGGAGCAATCCCAAGAGGTGCCTGAGCACATCCAGATAGAGGACTCCAGGCCCATGTAACCACCAGGGGTACAGAGGCTATTCCCAGTCACTTTTTGACTTGGAAAGGGAAGAAAAAAAAAGAAACAAAACCCAAAACAACCACTTTTAATCAAAGTGCAGAAAAAAACCCTCACTCCATCTGCAACATGGGTAACCTCATGGGAGGGAGGGATCAGTCCTGAAATGTTCCCCATTTGCTTGAGACAAGTTATTAGTCTCTGGGGGATTTCACCAGCACATAAACCCACGCTCACCAGAAACAACTTGCAGGATGATCATCCCATGACAGGCGATGCTGGCTCTGTCTCCCCATGACACAGGGTGGTGGCTTGGAGCCTCCTTCCCCTCCCACTGGCTCCCCAACACAGCTGGGGGAAGGTGATGCAGAGAGCATCTCCGGGACATGCTGCAACTCTGGAGCAGAGTTTGCGGCAAGGTCAAGCTGGAGCTGGCACTACCAGGACCAGGGAGGACCGACAGCCAAGCTTCTCCACCCCAGCAGAGCAGGCTACGTGATGGGGGGATGCCACCCCCTGGAATCCCACCGAGAGCCCTGGGTCCCTCAGCCTGCTGAAGTCATGCCTCCAAGGGGCGGATGGCTAAGATGCACTGACAATAACTGATGGCAGAAAGGAGACCCCTGCCTGCTGCAAGGCAGGAAAAAGCAGGTGGCAAGCCACATTAAAAGCTGGCTAATTCACCCCCTGTTTAACACATTCATTGTAATGGGCCATTACATGTTGACACTTACTTCCACATGAAGCAGCTGAGACCATGAAGTTAATGATCCCATTAAGAAACAGGTCCAACATGTATACAAGCTATAATATACCACAGTAAAAGAAATAACTATAGATACAAGGACGATGCACATTTGCTGTTTGTGCCCAGCTTTTTCAGTCTGCTGTGCATCTTTGAGAATTAATGGGAAATAACGCAAGATTAAAAAGACCATGACAAGACTGATCTGCAGTTACTAGACAAATTCTAGGCATTAGCTGAAGCAATTTGGTGATCATTTATGTTTTCAAAGTGCTGGGACAGAGGCTACTGGTGTGTAATGTTTAAGACAGGAGGGGGAAATCCAGCTCTGTCCTGAACTCCTACACCAGCCAGAGCACTGGAGGAGGCTTCCTGCTGCTGGTGTGATGCCCGAAGACTGGAAGGTTTTCATTCAAAAGGAAGCCAGGGGAGATGTCAGCCAGGATCAGTAACATTTTCAGCATTAATGAATCAGGATGTGTCATCCCTTTGGGTAGGCTTTCTTGCCTCTGCAAGGAGGTTTCTAAGCCCTCCAATGTGGAGGAAAGACCTCAGGCACGAGAAAGAAAGAAAAAGGAGCGAAGCAATCTAATCTCTTCACTTTTTGTTCATCACATTCATGAAGAAAAACACAGCAATGCAGTCATGGAGGCTAACACATCCCTTGCCTCTGGTATAGTTCTGTCACTAAAAAAAAGTTAATGGTAAAAAGTCCTGGAGTCAGCTCTGCTCTCATGGACCAAGTTACACTGGTGGGAGATGATGGACTTCACCCATAGCAAGCATTTCTCTTTGAACAGACTCAAACTGCCTGGCATCAAGAAACCAGGAATTCCCAGCTCTTCCAGCAACACCAAGCCATGCACAACCGTTTTCCTCTTGGACCTGATCCTAAACTCCATCAAATTAGCACCAACCTTTGCCTCAGCTGTTTAACAAAGGCATCATGCCAAGCAGAGCAGGCTCATGCCATCC